CAGGAGTGGACTGAGAAATAACTGAAAAGTAGTGCTTATGTGGCCGAAGGCGAGGACAAAATGACAGAGCGGGGCACTTTTTGTTCTTTGTTTAGGGAAGCGAGAACTGTTTGGGAGTTTAACTTCACTTTTTTTTTTTTTTTTTTGGTGGTGGGGGGGGGGGGGGGGAGAGGAGTACGAAATACCGCGATGACAGACCTGAACGGAATCCGAGTTCGGAAGAACTGGGGCGGAGGGTTTAGCTCCCGGCGTATCCGCTGCCTGCGTTTGTAGGGCGGGGAGCTGGAAGTTTGGAAGGACGAGAATAAAATAGAGCAAAAGTTTGCTGATGCCGAGCTGGGAGCGCTGTGGGGAGCCAAGAATGACTAGAAGATGAATGCTGGTCTGCCCCGGAATTCCTTTAAGAACTTCTCACTGCAGCGACCTGGAGTGTTGGTCTCCAGTAGCCCTGGAAGTTTCCGTGGACTCTCGGGGCGGGGTGCGGGGGAATGGGACCAACAAGTCCATTTGGAAAATCGAGGAGCGGGGAGTTCCTTTGTTTTTTTAAACCCTCCGGGAGGGAGGACTGTCTAGAGAAAGCTGGAAACTGCTGTTGTGCAGATAACAATGGATTTTAGGGTCTTGAGAAGAATCTCGAAAATTTTCAAATGCAGCTGGAGAAATCACGCTTAAGGAACTGGTGTGTCAGGGAAGAACAAAAGAGTATGAACATCTGAGACCTAAAAGATGGTTGAAGATTCGTCCTCACAGCTTCTGTTGGGCGGGAGCCTTAGGCAAGACTTACCAGAAAAAACACTCGGGGATTCGTGTAAACGTGGGACAGTAACGCATCGAAAGGGGCATTTTCCACTGTTGGGTCCGCGTGTCTGTTCGGATGCCCCGGAGAAAACTTGAACTGCCCCTTTAAGGGGTTTAGCGTTTCCTATTTGTGCTGGCATTTGAAAGATTGTGGAGGCAGAAAACTTTCTGGAATGTCACAAAAAAAAAAAAAAAAAAAAAAAAAGGCTGAAACTCTTAAATTGAGCATTTCCCAATGTGAGCGCTAAGGGGCGCCAGTTATTTTTTTTTAACCTTGGGCATGTTTGGAAAAAAATTTTGTAGCATGCTTATTAATCTGACCTATATTGAGTTCAGTGGAAACTTAAATTTTAGGTGACTTCACTTGTCTTTATCCATAAATACGACTACAGAGAAAACACCTAATACACGGGATTGGTTATTTTCGTGATATTAGTGTCCCATTTATCTTGAAAGAGTTTTTTAAAGTACAGTCTATGGGGAATCTCTTACACAACTAGACAGCATTTAAAATGAATTAAAATACATTCTTAAAATGCTCTGTATACTCAAGTGACATAGTGGAGATTATAAAAACTTTGGGTATACTATACAGAAAACTAGTAGTAGGAGTTTCTTCCGTTAGTTGTAAAAGACTGCTTATGTCGTCTTTCAGACTACTCAGAAATAACTGCCTTAGTTTGAGGTTGCCGTAAGTCTTCCAGCTGGAGGAATTTCAATTATGTCATTTCTGCTTAGGCTTGTTTCTTTCTCTCTGGTGAGAAATAGTAACCCTTTGAGTTTCAACTGTAGAAGAAAGCTAGTGTAACATTACAGTATTCAAAGTAATGCTTTCCTTCCCCTTTTCATATTTTCTTCGTCTCTCAACTCATTCTGTCTGTACTCAGTCTCTGCATCAGGCCAGAGTAAAGAGAGCTACAGTGCTGTAGGTAGTGTTTACAGTAGACAGCAGAACGAGTAGGAAGTGTGATTGTTTTCATTAGACCAGAACAAACGTTGCAGGAAAGGGGCTAGTCCTTAATGTGTTATAAGCATTTCCTGTACTTCTCAGCCTTATTATAAATTTAATTTGACATGAAAATACTGGTTTCTTAAGTGCACCATCATAAATAATTTTCTTGTTAGATGACTTAATTGTGAAAATTGGCAACTTGTGCTTTCCCCCCCTTGTGGCCTCCTCATTGTCCAAAACAAATTAATCATGACTTCTGTTTGTGGTTAGGGATTACACTCTCTTTTGTCTGTAATGCTTGACAGAAAAATTACTTTTAAATTTAGAGAAAACTAAGTTTCACTTTAAGGATTACACTGTTGAATGACATTAAGATAGTCTGCTCTCTGATAATTAGGAATTTTGAATGAGACTGTCTAGCGATTTTATTTGTAAAACACTTTTCAAACAGTGAGCTTTTGATATAGTTCCTGTTTGAGAATTTTCAGTCTTCTAGTGAGGAATGAAGGGTTCTGTTGTTTTCTGCTTGTTAAAACTTGAATGATACAAAAAGAGTGCTCTGATTGTTGCCAGCATAAAGTAGCCTGTGGTCCATAATTAGCCAGGTAGTCAGCCCTTGCCTTGTTGGCTCTTGATGCCGCTTGGTGAGTTTTGTCAGTCTTCCTTAGTATCTTCGTTCAGCAGAGATATTTTTTAAATTTGAAAATATATTTTAGGCCGAGTACGCTCTGAAATAAAAGATATAACTTGAGTTAATACTTCTAAGACGTAAAGAATCCTTCCCTTAAAGATTAGCCCAGGATTACAAATAAAACGTGGGTCTTAAACTGCTTTCTTTTCAGATTTTAACTAACTCCCCCCCATACTATCCCTAGAAAAGAACAATTACAAATTATTTTTAATAAAGATTTTTCTTTGTCATGGAAATGAAAATCTTAAAGTAGTTGAATCCAAAACATGTTTTTAAAATAAACATTTTATAATTTAGTGTTGAAAATGGGCAACATTGAATAATAGAAAAATACCAGTAGAGGAGACGAAAATGTGATACTTAAGCATCACATTTTATAGTTTTAATTCATTAGGCAGACTTAGGGATGAGAGAGAAGCTGCTTCTATGAGAATGAGAAGTATGGTTTGAGGGAAAAGGGCAGTTTGAGTCTATGGAATTTATTAGGAACTGTGAACAAGTATGTTAGATTTTGCATTAGTTTTCATTTTGGTTTGGAAATGTTTTCAATTTTCAGGTAATCCCTTTTTATAATCAAATTTCCCACTCTTTTAAAATGTGAGAATATTTTTAATTAAAATTGACTTTGCTAGTTACTTTCCATATTCATGTTTTTCTTTGAAGATGTGGCCATTGTTGCACATGTTACACCTTTTTTCGAATTTTAGTTTCCTTTTTTTTGGAGAAACTTGCTTGTTCATAAATGCTATGGCTTAAAACTTTACATGCTGTAGATATTGAGAGGAATTAGGTTATATAGTTCGTTAAATTTTTAGTTTTTTTCTAAAAAACACATCATGTTGACTGTAGGTGTTATTTATGACATACTTTACTTAAGGTGGGGTAATTAACCTGTTGTTTGGGAGCTAAGGCACTGCTTTGTAATCCACTAAGAGTTGTAGTAAGCTGGTGTTGGTCACCAGTTCTCTCCTGTATGCTCCTCAAGAGAGGTGAGAGCTCTTGTGGATACAGTGGGAAGGACGGACCATCCGCGTCTCCGACTTGGTTGCTTCCTATGCTTTCACACTGTTCTCAGGAACCTTGGCTGCTTCAGAGCAGAAGGGTGGCTGGGGCTTTAAGCTGTATCTGGTTTACATGGTTCATAATTAAGGTTGTACTATTAAAGGTACACACAGTTGAGTTTGTACTAGAAACTGTAAACTTTGGTATCCACGTTTCCCACTGTATGATTGTATCAATGCTTTTTTGAAATGAATATGAGGATATCAAGGTATAAATTTTCAATTTGATTGAGAGTGAATGTGTGCCATGTTAGGGACCTTGAGAGCTGTGTCCCAGATCTGCATTTGACCTTTTAGGTGGTTTCTGAACATTATGTGTCCTTGTTAATTGTGGCCCTGCCACTGTCCTGGAGTCAGAGTTTCACTAGTGTCCTATCAGATCAAGTGGTTTCTAGTATCCCAAAGGGAAATAAAGCCCTGTGACAGAATAAGACAAGTATAATAACTGTTACTGAGACCTTAATAAAATGGGGGGGGGGCACTAAGAAGTCCCCTTTTCCAGCTAGTCTATTTAGATAGGTTTTTATTTTTCTTTTTGTTTTTTGTATTAAGGGATTAATTAGACCATTTGATTCTATGGACAGCTTTTTATAAACATAGTGGAACTGCACTTTTATTTGAGGAATTCAGTGTAGTGAATGTTTGTTTGGTGCAGTTGTAAGCAAAATTTCCCTCTGTCTGAAATGGAATGTGCTGTGACATTATTGGGTTTTGTTTGTCGTTATCAAAAGATAATGCACTGAGCAACTTTCTGCTCTTAGTATGTCATCTGTTGGGAATAGCTAAGAATCTATTTTAAGGTTGAGGGAGGGATGATAGGGAAATGGACCCATGTTAGGAGGTCATGATTAGAGCTCTGTGACAGTTTCTTACATGGCTGACTTGACCATTTTCTTTCCTCTTCTTTATTTGACTTTAAGACAAGAATAGGAATTTTCAGTGCAGGAATTTTTTTCCCTTGCAATGAGCTCTTTTAGGAAATTATATACCTTTATAAAAATTGACTTTGAAGCTTTAGGGGACTCATGGTACTTATTTGCTGTCTAAGTAAGATTGCTTACAGCATTATTTTCACTAAGTATAAAAGCAAAATATAAGCACTAAACTTATAAATCAGTATAGTTTGTTAGGTTATTGTGGCTGCATTAGGAAAAGGGTCCATAAACACACCATTTTCTCTCTGGTGCTACACCGTTGGAACTTAGATCTGATTTGATTTTGTGTGCCTTGTTAAAAGTGATTCACCTCTTGTGTCCAGTGAGAACTTGGAAACAGACATTCTAATGTTTGAATTTAAAAGCATATCACAACTTACTCCTTTTGATTTCTAGTTTCTTTTAAAATACTTTTAAACAAAATACATAAGTAAAATTTAATACTTTAAACACATAAAGCAATTTTGTAATAGTGATAGCTCATGCTTTTTTCCCCCCTCTTAAAAATCTCATCCACCCCTCCTTGTATTATCACTATTTGTGTTATTTTGAATAAAGTAAAATGTTGATTTTACTTTATTACTGTCAATGAGAGCAGGAATTAAAAGTATAAAATTCATTTGCTTAAGTAGGGTAAGTTTCTAGCCGTTCCTTATCCCAAAGCATAAATAAATAATTCACAAATAGAAAAATCTCGAATCAGTGCTTAATTTTTGAAAGTTTTGACATTTTTGGAATTACATAGGTAACTTTTTTAAAAGACAGTTACTCCTAAAGTCAATATATAGGCCTTGCATCATTACTGCCATTTTTATAAACAGAATTGTC